GCAGTGGATGCCCAAGATTCCTTTGCTGAGTCCTAAGCCCTTCTCTGGGGACAGGAAGAAGGACGAGGACTTGGACACCTGGGTGAGGACTGTGCCCACTTATGTGAGGCACAAACTCACAAGGCCAGAGCAGGAGGTTTTAGTTGCTGCTTCCTTTTTAGAGGGATCTGCAGCACGTTGGTTATATGGGTTAGTGCAGCAATAGGGCTATGGTCAAAATTTCGATGCCTGGGCGCAGGCCCAGACATTGGAAGACTTCGTATACAAAAGGTGGCATGACCCTTAAGGGGCTCAGAAGGCCACCGACGCGATAAACAATCTTTGTGCCAAAAGGTACAAGAATGTATGAGAGGTCACAGACACTGTCGAACGCCTGATCGTAGTACCTACTGACGTCAGGGAACCACCCAGAGTCTAATGGCCAGGCAGAACAGCTGAACCGGGTAGTACAGCACCTGCTTCGGCATTATATCAAGCCAAGTCAGGATGACTGGGACGAGAACCTACCTCTCGTCGCCTACCTGTACAACAATGCTGTGCACAGTACTATTCGAATGACTCCCAATCAACTGCACCTTGGTTGGAAGCCCAGAACTGCACTTGACTTTCTGCTACCAGAAAGACAACCCACTGCAGCCCCTGGCAGCATAGAGTTTGCTGTCAATTACGAACAGATGCTGCAGCAGGCCGTCGAACATATTAGAAAATCTCAGGATGCTATGATTGCATCTGAGAATAAGCATAGACGGCCCTCTAACTTTCAGGTAGGTGATAGAGTCTGGGTCAAATCATCTGAACTAGGTCAAGAGTTGGGGATTTCACGCAAACTAATGCAACAGTACTTTGGGCCCTGGGAGATCTTAGACATTGTACGAGATCAACCAAATGGGCCTTTATACGTGATTCACATTCCTGCACACGTACTTACCCTGTTTCCATGCCTCCAAGTTGGCACCTTTCGTTGTCACTGATCAGTTTCCCTCCAGGAGATCAATGCTGCCCCCAACCATGGATGGACAAGTGGACATTGACGATATCATTGAGCACAAGCTGATGCCTGTACCCAAACCTCCAGGACGGGGTCGACCGCCAAAGCCACAGATGCAATATAGAGTGCGGTTCAGACATCACATTGATCCTCAAGAAGACCGGTGGTTCACAAGGAAGGAATTAATGAAGACTGCTCCCCAAATCATCTCAAGCTACGAGAGAAAGCTGAAAGGGAAGCAGCCTGTTATATAAGAGGACTATCGAAGTAAAGGAGGAGGGAATGCGAGGATTCGGGTCCCCAGCAGGCCTACGGGGCTCCTGTTGCATCTGCGCCCGCCCTAAGTGAAGGCCGGCCTAACTAGTCACGAGAGGCCCTCAGCTGTCAATTTCGTATTTGGGGTCCTGACAGTTGTGACGCGCCAGTTGGTTGAAGGGATATACAGGCCGAGCAACAAAGATATTCCACGGCCTTCTGGGCTTTTCCAAGAATGCAGGCCCTGGGCGAGAATCGCAGCCTCATATACTGACAGTTGGGAGGCCCAACCGAAAGAGGCTCAGTAGCTGCAACACAAGCACAGCATCCTGGGGCCTACCGGAAGCTTCTGGGCCCAGGCCCAGTCTAGCCAGGCTGCGAGGGCAGGCAGGCTCTTTCCATATAGGAAAGAGCTTGCCACGGGCAGCCTCATTCAGGCACTCGCATGCTAGCGGCAGCGCTGCTGGAGTGGACGCTCGAGGGCTGCTGCTGGCGCTGAGAGGCGAGGTGCTAGTGCGTGCGGTCGTGCAGGGAGCAGGGCGCTGCTGAGGGCAGCGCCATAGCCCAGCCTCCATAGCTGGTCGGGCTTGGACTACAGTGAGGCGTAGGGGTGGTCTTCGGGTGTACAGAGGGAAGACGTGGGAGTAAGACAGGGGAGAGAGAGAAGGATGATGACGATGGTGATGCGAGGGCACATACCTGGTATTGGCGATGGTCTGCATGGGCGACATCTTCAAGTACGTCGTAGGCTGCTGACGTCAACAGTTGCATTGTCAAGTAGTAGGGAGAGAGTAGCTGTGTAGGAAGTAGGCTGGGCGCCGAGCGCCAAGTAGGGGGATAGGTCCTGGACACTCATGTTGGTGGTGGCGAGAGCAAGCTCTCATTGACATTGGTTTTCAGTGTTACGAGTCTTCATTGGTGTTATATTGGTGCATTTCTGCTTTCTGGACACTGTGATACTATCTGGCCTTCAATGTGATTGTGCAATCTGGTTATTGTCATTCACAGTATTTTATACCCCCCTTTTCCACCCTTGCAATCAGACTCGTCTTATCCACTTCTCAGCATGCATGAAAACAGATGGCAATCCACACTGGCGCCAGGCACCCACACCAAGCTCAGAGATATCGAGGCCAAAGAACACAGTGCAGATTCAAACTTATTTATGGCTATGGCGCTTGTGCGCTTTCACATCAAACTTCCGACACTGTATCCTCAACAACTGTTCACACGCACGCTACTCTGGATCTACCTGGATGTCCCACACACACACACACTTCGCTGAATACTTACACACTCGCTATAGTCCATCTCTCACCTACAGCAGCTATGGCTGCATTCTAACCCTATCACTAACTAGTGACTATGGCCGCTTCGTCTCCCTCACAGCCCACGTCTCCACTGGGCACTTGCAGACCTCCTTGCACAAGTCGCTCAGGCAGCACTTCCGCACAGCTCACAGTCTGAAAGAATCCATATCTGGATGCTGCCTCTTGATTTATACTTCGGTTGGTCGCTGGTCTGCTCCTTTCCACCAGGCCTAGGGTGCACACAGTCCCACATGGTACTTGCTGACTTGACAAAGTGCGACTGAGACTGGGTACCGCCGACTAGGCAAGGTTGGGCTACCCACTTGCCCACTTGCCTCTGGCCTGACTCTGGTGGTGCTTGAAAAGCCACTTCCGGATCTTTCGGAAGTTCGTAGACCTGGCCTTTCAGGACTGTAGCAGCTACGACCTTGACCTTTCAGGACTGTAGCAGCTACGACTTCTACACAGCTACGACCCCTACTTGACAAATTTACGGTTCAAGACCCGACAACCACACTAACCTACGACAGACAATAGACGCCTATCAAAACACAGGAATCAACTCGGTACAATACACGGGTTCAGGACAGGTCTAGGGATCGATCCCTGGGATCTGCAACTGCTACCACGAAGGTGAAACCCGTTTCACCCTTGACAGCCAACAGTCAAAAAAAAGAACCGGATTTGGGCTCCTCTGGGCATGAGCATAAATCCCCCACTGCCAAAAAAAAAAAAAAAAAAAAAAAATTGACCCCACTTATTCTCATGCCTGGGTGCCCGGTCGGGCAGCCCCACCCGAGCGTGACAATCTTCCTATGTTTAATCAACAAATAATTTGAAAATTGAAATAAATTATGAACAAATGATACAAATCCCCTATTGTAGGCCTGTATTTTGCCGTGTCACTTCTGTAGTGAATCTATCTATATCATCCTCGTGCCGCATTCAGACACTCCCAAGCAATGCATCTCCATCTATCCTTGGAGCCCTGGCCCGTCAACTCCTACTAGTCTGTCCCTGGAGGCGCTCACCCTGGATCTGATGTGCGTCATTGGTATCTATATGTCCCACTGCGCCGATGCACTGATTCTGTTACTTCCTGTCAGAAGAGCCGAAGAGCAGAACATCAGAAGTGCCTAGTCCGAGCTACTGCCTTCACCCGGAGAGAACGTGCAGTCATTATGGCTGTACTTGGGGCAATTTTCAGTCACATGCAGCGATAATGCCAGGCGTTCTACTTTGGTTGAAGACGGTAGGAGGTGGAGGAGGTCCGTGCCACTACTGGCAGTTTCTACATGTACTCGGCAGAGGTGCTAGCGACACTATTTGAATGAGACCATGTGCGGGGAAGGTGGGACTTTGCTGGAACTGAGAGAGACTGGCGAGCACAAGTGCCAGCTGCATTCATCGAATCAGCGCTGCTGTATTGTGTGGCGGGTTCTCTGGTGGTGGCTTCCACTGACTAGTGGAAGTTGTTCTGATGTGCGCCATTCCCGTCTCCTCTTGGATAGAACACCCAGTTATTTCTGCGGTACCAAGACTGAAAGTTGCCCCAAATATAGTTATAACGACTGGGTGAGTAAAGACAATAGTCTTCTCCTATTGCAAGGCGGTGGCGGCTACTTGTCGATATCGGCGACTGTGCAGCATTGGTCTTCTCCAATTGCAAGAAGCGGACAAGCAGCGATCATTGCGGGAAGAGAGGACTGTCATGCAGGATGGACGAGAGTCGTTGTTGCGAGAGGTATGGTTTGAGTCTTTGAGACAGGACAGCCAGCAATAATTGTAGAAAGAAAGGTTGGCGAGGGCGGGTGATGAAAGGAAGACTACTTGCTTGAAACAATCGTCAATGCGCATTGTGACACTATCATCATCGACTCATTACTATTACTTACTGTAAATCATAGTATTTCCCCCTCAATCGCCACCTCTCAACAACCATGGCTGCGGTGGACTCTTCTTCAGCACGGGAAATGATCCACCAACTGTTTTTCACAAATCTTTGCTCCAGAATCATTTTCATATCTCTTTGCCCCGCTTTCCAAACAACGGGTCGCATAAGACAGAGTTACCTTAATGTTCATACATGGGGACCCTCAACCACTTGGACAAGGACATTGTTTTAAACTTTTCACATCATTTGTAAACAAAGTCAAAGTCTGATTATTTGACCAAATCTCCCAGAGATAATACAGACCCACTCTGACATTCGCCGGTTCGAGGGTCTAACCCAGGTAACCTGGAAAGCTTAGCCAAGAAAAGTGCACCGACCCCACTTGGCGGAATACTGATGCACATGTAACTGCTAGTAAGCCGATCATAAAATCCTCGCAGAATCAGACGAACACAATAACATTACGGTTTACTAACCCCTTAACAAAACAAACAAACGAAAAAAGGATCATGAAAAGAACAAGCTGAGCAGTGCAAGCACAACTCCTACCTACCTGGTCATACTTGGCATGCTTCTGGCTTTCCCCGGAGCCCGTTGAAAGGAGGTAAAATTGCCCAACTTCATCAGAGACCACCAAGGACGTGCCATCTCTACCACAGATCCACAGCATTTGCAATTCAGAAGACTAGACGAAACACTTCCTCTCCATCTCTCCCAAATCAGACAGTTTCTCATTCTGTTGCACTGCCTCCCACATCACCACCCAAACCCTGGGCCCCTCTCAGCCACCCTCTTCCCCCCCGTCTCCCAGAACTCCCTCATCACATCCTCTGTGCTTGTGTGTTTCCACTCTTCCCACCCTTTCTGTTCACCTGTTGCAGTGGTTAACCTCTCTCTCTCTCTCTCTCTCTCTCTCTCTCTCTCTCTCTCTCTCTCTCTCTCTCTCTCTCT